TCTCTTTTTCCGACAGTTAGTTAACGTCTGACAGTATGAGATTGTATCATGAGTTACTCGTCCATCGGATGGGCATTTTTTGTCGTTTCCTTGTTTTACTTTTAAAATAACCTGAGAAAACAATTCCATGTGTATTTCCTTACAAAGAGTGCCTCCTGGAGTAAATACTGAGAACGGCGAGCACTAAACACAGGACTTGCCCGATTTTTAAATTTGTACAGATGCTGTCAAATGCCTCTCCTAAAAGGGCACTGACTCCTCCCACCCACCAATAGTGCACCCTGCTGACCCATTGATATCATCAGAAGTTTTAGTTTCTGCCAGTCAAGTGGGGGAAAATGTTATTTCACTTAAATTCCCTCATTACTTACAAGCTTGGCCTATTTTCATTATATTGGGAACTTGTATGATTTTTCTTCTATGAGTTGACTATCTGTCCTTGTCCATTTGTTGTGCTAAACAGCACACTTTACACTATCAATTGCCCCCAAATCCCCCTGACACCCTCAGCCCTTGCCCTTTGGCTGGTCCCTCAAGTAGCTGAGGGGCAGAGCCAGGGTCCACGGGTGAAAGGGCAAGGCTGCAGATTTGGGCTTGAGGTTCAGAAAATCAGAAAGCATTGTGGATGTCAAGGAAGAGAGAGAATTTTTACTGAATACGTATGTGCTAAGTACATACTAAATGCAAACTCCCATCTTGTGAGGAAGAAAGGTATTGGCATTTTTTTATTTGTATTTATTTATTTATTTTATTTTTTTGAGACAGAGTTTTGTTCTTGTTGCCCAGGCTGGAATGCAATGGCGAGATCTGGGCTCACCGAAACCTCCACCTCCTGGGTTCAAGTGATTCTCCTGCCTCAGCCTCCTTAGTAGCTGGGATTAGAGGCACCCGCCACCATGCCCGGCTAATTTTTGTATTTTTAGTAGAGACGGGGTCTCACCATGTTGGCCAGGCTGGTCTTGAACTCCTGACCTTACGTGATCTGCCTGCCTTGGCCTCCCAAAGTGCTGGGATTACAGGCGTGAGCCACTGCGCCTGGCTTGCCATTATTTTTATCTCTCATTTCACAGTTCAAAAAAAAAACAAGATTCAAAAAGGTTAAATTATATGCCCAAGGTCACCCAGCTACTAAAATGCAGGACCAGGGTGTGGACACAGATCCTTCAAGTTCCAAACCCCTGTGGGTCCCACCTCAGCTGCATGAGGGCATGAAAGGTATGGGAGGGAAAGGAGGCGGCTGCTACACGGGAGGGAGCCCACTGTCACTGGAGGGGAACCAGCCAAGGCTGGATGGCTGGGATGTGGAGAAGAGATTCACACACTGGGTGGGAGGCTGGATGAGTGGCCCCTCTGAGATGCTGAGGGCATCTGCTGGGCTCCCTCTCACCTCCTATTTGTTCCCCCAACCTGGATGAACCTCAAAACACGGTGCTAAGTGAAAGAACTCAAGCAGGAAAAAGCCATGGTGTGCGATTTCACTCGTACGAAACGTCCCTGAGAGGCAAATCTGCAAAGGCAGATGGTAGATTAGTGGCTGCCAGGGGCTGGGCACAGGGATGAGCTGTGAACAGGCACCGGGAATCTTACTGGGCTGATGGAAACCTTCTAAAACTAGATTATGGTAATGATTGCACAACTTGGTAAATTTACCCAAAATCATTGAGTTTGTATGCTTAAAGTAGGTGAATTTTGCAGTGTGCAAATTATATCTCACTAAGGTTTTGTTTTTGTTTTTTGTTTTTTTGAGATGGAGTCTTGCTCTGTCACCCAGGCTGGAGTACAATGGCTTGATCTTGGCTCACTGCAACCTCTGCCTCCTGGGTTCAAGCAATTCTCCCGCCTCAGCCTCCCGAGTGGCTGGGATTACAGGCACCCACCACCATGCCTGGCTAATTTTTATATTTTTAGTAGAGACAGGGTTTCGCCATGTTGGTCAGGTTGGTCTCGAACTCCTGACCTCAGGTGATCCGCACCCCTCCCCTACCGCCTCCCAAAGTGCTGGGATTACAGGAGTGAGCCACCACACCCGGCTCAACTAAGTTTTTAAAAACTGTAATGGAGGTGGGTGCAGGTCACAGTGATGTACAGGGCAGCAGGGTTTCTTCCTGAGAAGAGGTCATGGTTAAGACCACTGTGGAGGCCAGAGATGTAGCTATAGGTCTCCTCTGAAGCATTGTCTCCCATCCAAAATGTGACTCTCCAGGAAAAGCTGCTGCCACAAATAACGTGCTTGGGTAAGGGGCTGTTCGACAGATCCACACCAGCGACACCCCCAGCCCAGCCTTCCTCATCTTGCTGGGGCCTCAGGGTCTCCTGAGCTCTGGATTCGCACTCTGCTCCTGTGTCCGTGGTTTAGAAATGGTCCCCTAGCACCTAAGGGTGTTGTCTCAGAAACAGCCCTAAGCCTCAGGGGCGACCCCTTCTTAGTGGCCCTATGGGTTTCATTCATGATAATAGGCTTTGAGGTCTGTGTGAATGCCCCACAAGCTCTTAGTGCCTGGTGTATAATTGCATCTCATTTAATCCTGCATCCCCATTTTACAGACGAGGAAACAGAGGTTCATAGAGGCTGAATCATCTATTCAATGTCTCATAGTACAGGTAGTAGTAGACAGAGATTCAGACCTAGGCCTGTCTGACTTGCCACTAGGCTACACTGACCCAGGGCCGCTCTCCTCAGTGTAACATCCACCTACTTTCCCCACACCCATCCTCAGCCCCACTCCACTTGGCCACCTTCACACACATCCGGGTTATTCTTAATAACTTATTAATGTTTGGTATGCATTTTGCCATGGGATTTTACTGAGGGTTGGTACAAGAAACAATGCAAGAGGCCAGGCACAGTGGCTCATGCCTGTAATCCCAGCACTTTGGGAGGCCAAGGCAGGTGGATCACCTGAAGTCAGGAGTTCAAGACCAGCTTGGCCAACATGGTGAAACCCTGCCGCTACTAAAAATACAAAAATTAGCCAAGCTTGGTGGTAGGCACCTGTAATCCCACCTACTCCAGAGGCTGAGTCAGGAGAATCACTTAAATCTGGGAGGTGGAGGTTGTAATGAGCTGAGATCACACCACTGCACTCCAGCCTGGGCAACAGAGTGAGACTCTGTTTCAAAAAAAAAAAGAAAAGAAAGAAAGAAAAGAAATTATGCAAGAAATCTGAAGCCCTTTGTTTTTGCCATCATTTATAAAAGTATGACTGAGTGCGCCGTCATTCAGCTGTCCCTACATGAAGATGAATGGGGCAGATTGCCCCTAGAATTTAGCACTAGGATGAAAGTTTCTTCTTTTGGTGCCAGGTTATTTCTTTCTATCACCGGGGTTGGGGTGCCATACAACTTGGGGTCTTCTCTTTGTTTAAACTGATGTTGCTGGGTTCTCCAGAGCCGTAGTACACAACCAGTTCTTGCACCCTCATCTTAGTGGCTCTATTGTATTTGCATTTTATATCCTTTTTATTGTAGTCTGCCTGAAATCATTTAGGTGAAGGGGTCAGGGCATGGGACTTTATAAAATAAGGTCACTCTTAAGCTCCTTAAGACTTTACTCTTCTGTACATTGGTTCTGATTTTCTTTTTACTGTGACCTCATGTGATGGCAGCTTGCCACCCCAGTCTCCCAGATCCTATTCAGTACCCTCCTCGATAATTTCTGGTACTTAAAACTTTTAAGACAAAGCGAACTGAGCAGTGCGAGGCAGTGCTCCTGGGGCTGCTTGTGGTTTGTTCTCTGGGTAGCAGCAGATGGCACTTTCTGTTTGTCACCAGTGGCTTTTGCTGGGCTGAGGTCAGTATTTTTCCAGAAACACGTTTGGGCTGATGGGTTTAAGGAAAGCGTGTGCGTGGGCATGTGTGTCTGTGTGTGTGTGTATGTGCATACACTCCAGCTGAGGTGTCTGGTGTAGCATAGAGAAGCAAATGTGTTCATTTGCAAACAAGTATGTATTCATGAACAAGCACATACTGTGTATTAGGTCCTCTGTTAGGTATTAAAACTGGAAACATTTTTTTTGAAACAGGGTCTGGCTCTATCACCCAGGCTGGAGTGCAGTGGCAGGATCTTGGCTCACTTCAATCTCCACCTCCCAGGCTCAAGGCATCCACCTCAGCCTCCTGAGTAGCTGGGACTACAGGCATGTGTCACCACGCCCAGCTAATTTTTTAATATTTTCATAGAGACAGAGTTTCACCATGTTGCCCAGGCTGGCCTCTAACTCCTGAGCTCAAGGTGATTCGCCCATCTTGGCCTCCCAAAGTGCTAGGATTACAGGTGTGAGCCACCACATCTGGCCAAAACTGGAAAAGTTTAAAGTGCTGGTCCTTTGAGTAGATTTTTTGTTTGTTAACAGCTTTATTGAGTTATAATTTACATATAAAGTCCCCTTGTTTAAAGTGTACAATGTCATGATTTTTAGTGTATTCATGGAGTTGTGCAACCATTTCCATAATGTAATTTTAGAACATTTAAATTCCCTTAAAAAGAAACTTTATATCCATTAGGAATCACTCCCCATTTCTTTCCCAAGCCCCCAGCCTTAGGCAGCCACCAATCTACGTTCTGTCTCTACAGAGGGTCATATGCTGAATATTCCAGAATCATGGAATCATATAGTATATGGATTTTTGTGACTGGCTTCTTTCACTTTCTTCTTTATTATGGCCAAACAATATTCCACGATAATAAATATACCCTATTTTGTTAACCTATTCATTCGCTGGTGGATGTTTGGGTAGTTTCTACTTTTGGCTAGTATGAATAATGAAGCTGTGGGCATTTGTGTGCAGGTGTGTGGGTGGAGATCGCCTCCATTAAGCTTTGTCCAGTAACGGTTTACGAGTCTGTCTCCCATGAGACTGTGAGTCATCCTTTCTTGGGCCAGGGAGATAGGCTCTAGAGTTAACACTTGGAAAGTGCCTGGGGAAGGAAGGAGGGGAGGGAGGGAGGGCGAGAGGATGTCTGCCTTGTTTCTGAGGGTGCAGAGGGGTAGGGAACTCACCTTTCTGGGTCGCTGGCCTGGGTAACCGGCACACTCTCTTCTTGGGGGTGGACTTCTTGGTGGGCTGGGCAGTGGTGGGAAGGAAATCAACTACAGAAAGAAAGCAAGACACATATCTTAGCCAGGTGAACACCAGGTGGACTCAGAGACAAAACTTTGTCTTGTGGCCGGGCGCGGTGGCTCATGCCTGGAATCCCAGCACTTCCAGAGGCCAAGGCAGGAGATCATTTGAGCCCAGGAGGTTGAGACCAGCTTGGGCAACATGGTGAAACCCCCTCTCTACAAAAAATAAAAAGTTTAGCCAGGCTTGATGGCACATGCCGATAGTCCCAGCTACCCAGGAGGCTGAAGTGAGAGGATCACCTGAGCCTGGGAAGTCAAGGCTGAAGTGAGCCGTGATCACGCAACTGCACTCTGGCCTGGGTGATGGAGCAAGACCCTGTCTCAAGAACAAACGAATGAACAAATGAACAAAATTTGTCTTACATCCAAGTACTGAAGTCCTTATGACTGTTCCCCAGGCTGCTACAGGGCCTGAAGGACACATAGCAGTAGAATATTTGATCTGCTTTCTCAGTTCTCAGATGTTGGGAAAGGGGTGGGGGCCTAGGGATGGGGTTCAGTTTGGTGTCCTGGAGAGAGGAAGCCACACAGACCTGAGCAGAGCCTACATCCTTGATTTTTTTTTTTTTTTTTTTTTTTTGAGATGAAGTCTCATTCTGTAGCCCAGGTAGAGCACTGTGGCACGATCTTGGCTCATTGCAACCTTTGCCTCTTGGGTTCAAGTGATTCTCCTGCCTCAGCCTCCATAGTAGCTGGGATTACAGGCACGTGCCACTGCACTCGGCTAATTTTCTGTATTTTTAGTAGAGATGGGGTTTCACCATGTTGGCCAAGCCGGTCTTGAACTCCTGACCTCAGGTGATCCACCCGCCTTGGCCTCCTGAAGTGCTAGTATTACAGGCACGAGCCACTGCTCCCAGCCGACCTACACCCCTGATTAACCACTGTGTGATTTGGGACAAGTCATAGTACTTTTCTGTGCCTTGATTTCCTCATTTGCTGAAATAATGATAATTGCCACCTCCTTCTTAGGATTATCTGAGAATTAAAGGGACAGTGTGTCCAAAAAAAAAGGTTCAGTAGACGTGGCTCCACCTGGCCGAAGACCTTGCGCCCCAGGGCTGGATCGCCCAGCCTTTGGCACAACCAGACCCTCCGCCCAACTCGGCAATCTCTAAGCACGTGGAGGAAGCTCATGGAAGGGAGGGGTGCCCTTTTCTGCATGTACAGTACCAAGCAGGTGTCATATCTGGGGATTTGTTTTCCTTCTCAGGTGACCCTAAAATATATATATAATATCAGAGCTAGGAGAACTTCAGTCTCAAACTTTAATTTCAAAGGTGAATGCCAGAGACAAGGGGAGCTGGCCCCTGCAGCCCCAAGTGGTGAGTGCTGTGTTGGGACCCCAAGCCCCTGTCCTGACTCCTGGATGGGTCACCCCTCTCCTTCATTCTAACCCACCGACCCCTGCTGAAGTGCTGGGAGAGGGCAGCAAGCTGACACCCAGAACAAAGGAAGACAGCTGTGGCTCTGACGCCTGCGGGGGATGAAGGAGGCGCTGCTAGCCACGGAGTCCAACCCTTGCCTGTGTGGGTTGAGGAAACAGACCCCTCTGCACTGATTTTCTCCAAAATGGTAGAAGAGGGAGTAAGAAGACACCTAAGCTCTAGGTTCAGGGGGACAGAAAAAAAAAAAAAAGAAATATTAACGCTGGGCGCGGTGACTCACACCTATAATCACAGCACTTTGGGAGGCCTAGGCGGGTGGATCACCTGAGGTCAGGAGTCCAAGACCAGCCTGGCCAACATGGCAAAATCCCGTCTCTACTAAAAATACAAAAATTAGCTGGGTGTGGTGGCACGTGCCTGTAATCCCAGCTACTTGGGAGGCTGAGGCAGGAGAGTCACTTGAACCAGCGAGGCAGAGCTTGCAGTGAGCCGAGATCTTGCCACTGCACTACAGCCTGGGTGACAGAGTGACTCCGTCTCAAAAAAAAGGTTGAGGGGTGGGGAGACAGGCAGGGGAAGCCCACAGATCAGTCATTTTTGGCCTGGCATCTTCTATATAAAAGTAGACATTTTAGCCCCTCACCTCTCTGAGCCTCCTCTGAAAAGTGGAGAAAACACGCTGTTTGCTTCAAGACATTGACGGGAAGAAGCAACTAGAATGAACATGCACTAAGCTCCAACCATGTGCAGGGAGCAGTGCTGAGCTTTTCCACGTAAGTTTACTGAACACAACAACTTTTGGGGCAGGCACTACTGTCCCCATTTTATCCAGGAGGAAGCCTAGGCTCAGAGAGCTGAAATGATGTGCCCAAAGTTAGACAGCCACAGGCTGCTGAGCCAGGATCTGCACCAAAAGACCTTGATTCTAGAACCTGTGCTTCTCATTCTGCCACACTACCTCACGTACAAAGGTTTTCTGACAAAAAGTTGAACACTTTAGGTCCACCCAAGGCCCTGGGTCATCAGAGTGTCAAGGGCAACTATTGTAAGAGGAAAACTGTCATCAGCAGGGTCTTGGAGAGCAGGCAAGGAGCCTGGCCTTCTGTTGGGAGTGTTGCCTCCTTTATTCCTCATGGCCCTAGAAGTAGTGCTGTTTGACTTATTTTCTATTTGACTTATTTTCTATTCGAGGAAGCCGGGACGTCTCTCAGATGGTCTGTAGTGAGCCGAGAGCGGAACCAGCTCTTTAGGCCCTCAGTGCCTTGGCTGGGTACCACAGCCTGGGTCTGGTGGGAGACTCAGGTTGGGGGACTGTTCTATTTTACATTCATCTTGCCTAGAGCCTGGTCCCCCTGGATTCCTCCTGAGCCCCCAGTTGAATCTCTCCCTCTCCGTCCTTAAAAGGAATATAACTTTGAGCCCATGATATACTTAAGGGCCTGAAAAAGGCCCTGTCTTTCCCCAAACACTTTCTCAACCATCCCAGCTTTGTCCTCTAAAAGGCCTTTCTTGGGGGAGAAGCTGGGTTTTGGCTCTGAAGAAGGTCTCGTTGCAAGCCCTGGGGAGAAGCAGGTTTGGTTGCAAGCCAGCGCTGCAAGGAGGCATTGACATTCCTGCAGTGCTGGGAGGTGTTTGGGGTTTGGAAACACAGAAGTAAGGAGTGAGTGGGGTTGGGGTGGAGGCGGTGGGAAGCTCTGGAAACTAGCTGTGCTTATTCCACCCTCCACTTTCTCAGACCGTGAAATCTCATGAGTGGAAAGGTGTGGGGCTTACAGAGGCAAAAACAATAAGCCAACGTCAAAACCCAAACCCCAAACCCCAAACCTCAAACTCCCAAACTCTCAAAGTCCATTTTTCAATACAAAAATCAGTGGACCCCACGCAAAGGGATGCCTCAGCCTCTTGCCTGCAATAGTCCCTCCAGGCTGGCAAGAGGTGGCGGGGCATCACTTTGGTTTGTGTCTTCCTAATCGTGCTGCTGTCCCCAGCTGCCCCTGCACTTCCTCACGCTGGGTGGTCTAATTTCTGGGTCTCCTTGTGGCTTTTAGTGCCCTCAGGTGAGCAGGAAGCAGGGCAGTGGGAGCCCTGGAGGGGGTTGGCTCCAGCCTTGGGCCAAGCTGGAGGTGGGGCTAGAGCCAGAGCCAGGTGGTGAGGGTTACCACACAATCCCTCCCCACCCATAGCTAAATGCCTTCTTTCCAATATGGTGACCACTCACTGCAGGTGCTGCTGAGCACGTGAAATGTGGCCAGTCTGAATCGAGATAAGCCGTATGTTTTATGTAAAATGCTCACTGAACACTTAGTATGAAAAATGAATGTAAAGTATTTCAGCAATAACAGATGAAAATACAGTTAATAAATTGAGTTAAATATATTATTTAAATTAGTTTTACTTGCTTTTTGCTTTTTTAAACATGACTAAAAATTTAGAATTTCATCTGTGGCTTGAAATGTGTGTCTGCTGGACTTGTTGACTTAAGTCAGAGGTCTGCAGCTTCTCTGGGATTAAGTGGGTCATGCAGGCCATCAGCAGCCCCATGACACCGAAGAGAACATTGAGGCCCAGGGGAGAAAGCGTGGCAAGTTTGCAAGCAGAGCTGGGCCTGGCTGTCTCCTTACTACCTTCGACTCAGGTATGAGTTTGAGCCATAGACCCTCACAGAGAACATAAGGGTACCTGTCCCTCCACTGCCCCTAGAAATGCCCTCACTGGGTAGGTAAGTCAGGGCAGTGAGGGCTTCCTCTCCCTGTGTGCACACTCTGTGGGGATTTCTAATACCACTATAAGGCCAAGGGACTCCGCCCAATCCAGCCGTAGCTTCGGATGTCCCTGATGTGGCCTGAAGGACAGCACTGCCCTGTCCACATAAGAAGCATAATGCCTGGCCAGGCATGGTGGCACACGCCTGTAATCCCAGCACTTTGGGAGGCTAAGGCGGGTGGATCATTTGAGGTCAGGAGTTCGAGACAAGCCTGGCCAACATGGTGAAATCTCGTCTCCACTAAAAATACAAAAAATTAGCTAGGCATGGTGGCTCATGCCTGTAATCGCAGCTACTCGGGAAGCTGAGGCAAGAGAATCACTTGAACGCAGGAAGCAGAGGCTGCAGTGAGCCAAGATTGCACCACTGCACCCCAGCCTGGGCAACAGAGTGAGGCTCTGTCTCAAAAACAAAAAAACAACAAAAAAGAGAAGCTTAATGCTCATCTCTGACTCTGATCCATCTCTTCCAGTTTCACCTTATTCCCATCTAAAGTGGTTAGGTGATAGACCTACCTTCCAGGGAGGTTGGCAGCATTAAGCGAGCTAGCTATGGAAACACTTGGAGGGGCTTGGCCTGGGTAAGTCTCCCCATGTACTTTCTGCCATTATCAGCAGCAGTGCCGTTAGTCACGGCTGCAGAGTGAGGCACACTGAAGCATGGTGGTCCCAGTGCCTGGCACGTGCCTGACACACAGTCGATGCTCAGTGCTCATTGATAGCATTGGGCCTGCTTCTTACCCACACTCAGCTGAGTTCCCTTTCCGAAGGTCAGCTCGGGGCTCCCGATGATCATGCAGAAGTAGATGCCACTGTCTTCTGGCTTCACGCTTGTGAGATTGAGAATGAACCGGCTTGCATCCCGAAACACAGCTAACTTCTCCTGTTCCACCTCTTCACCATGGACAGTCCCTTTTGTGGAATCCCAGAGGGCCAGGAACTCGTGGTGACTGTCACTGCTCGGGGCCTGGCGCTGTCTCAACCAGTAGATGCGCATGTTACCGAGGGAGATTTTAGCCTCGCAGGACAGCATCGCCATTTTGTTGGTTTGCACCTGTATGTATGCAGGGGTCTGCTGGAGGACTGAGCTGCCACGGAGAACTAGGAAAAGCCAAGAATAGAGACATCGCACATTTTCCTAGCCACAGTTGTGGGACCTCGCAGTCACACTGAGTCAGGTGTCAAAGGAAAAGCCGTGGAAGAACCTGCCCAGTTACTGGGTCCAGGGACTGTACTGAGCGCAGCTATTGGCTCCTGGACTCAGAGCTCACAGACCCCACCTTCCAGGAGATCATCTGGAAGGCAGGTGTTTGCTAAGTTCAGCTTTACAAAGGTACAGGGGAGAGAGCTGCCATTTGTTTATTGAGTACTTATATGCCTGGCCCTTGCATAAAGGAACTCAATCAAGCCTCAAACTGGCTTTGGAATTTTTTAAGACATGGGGTCTTGTTATGTTGCCTAGGTTGGAGTGGAGTGGCTATTCACGGGCACTATCATCGCGCACTTCAACCTTGACTTCCTGGGTTCAATCTCTTCTCCCACCTCAGCCTCCCAAGTAGCTGTGACTATAGGCATGCACCACCACACAAGGATGGATTCAGGAGTTTTAGTCCTCATTACACAGATGAGGAAACTGAGGCATGAAGTTATTTGTTCAGCCTAGGAGTGAAACTCAAGGATTCAAAGTCTGAAGCCAAAGCTGGTTGCCTTTTACCTCCCCTGACTGCCACTGGATGTATAGCCCTTCGGTGGGCTCCAAACTGCCGAAGGAGACCCAGGACAGGCTGCGAGAGGAGCCCAGAATCACAGCAGAGCATGTGGCTAGCCTGTCCATTGCTGGACAGCAAGGGCAGACAGCAAAAAAGCTCACTATCCCCTGGTAGGTACAATTATAGCCCATGACCCCCGAGCCCAGCTACCGATGGGTCACTAGATCGCTATTCCCCAGTGGAAGGACAGACACCCCAAAAGCAGGGCCGGGAGTTCATCTTAGGCTCTGATGAGAAGCACCCGGCAAGCAGGGGCTTGTTCATGAGGAGCTAGAGCAGGACTCACAGACCCGGCCCTGAACCCAGCCTCTGGCCGTGCCAGCTGTGAGACCTCAGGCCAGTCACCGAGCCTCTGTCTTATGAAAGGAGGGCAGCTTGGTGCTGTTGTCCTGCCTGTCTCTGAGGGTTGGAAAGAAATGAAATGCTGTCCAAAAAAGCACACTGCAAACCGTATGGCCACGTACACAGGTAAATACTGTCCTGATGTCTCATATCACAGGGCTGTTACTGGAAGTCAATTAAATCTCAAGGAGAAGGATCAGAATGGGTTCCATTCACACCAAGGCTGCACAGCTTCCAACGAACATAATCTGACCTGGTGAGCCCTTCATTTTGGCTGTGGAGCAAAGGGAGACATTGCAGGCCAGGGCAGAGATGCAGGAGTGGGGAGGCACAGAGAGGACACAGACCTCGGTAGGCAGAAGAGGCCAGAGGGCAGGCGTGTGTGTCCAAGAGGAGCCGGCTTACCGAGCACCTCATGTTTAAAATCCTGCCTGCACTTGCGGCTCAGGCTCCGTGGCCCCATAATGGCCTTCTCCAACACTGACGAAATGAACTTTGAGTTTTTGACTTTGCTCCTGGACCACCCTTAGCTTTCGCTTGCATCAAGAATGAAATGATGGGGCCGGGTGTGGTGGCTCATGTTTGTAATCCCAGCACTTTCGGAGATCGAGGCAGGAGGATCACTTGGGCTCAGGATATTGAGACCAGCCTGGGCAACACAGTGAGATCCTGTCTCTACTAAGAATACAAACATTTTCCAGGCATGGTGGCATGTGCCTCTAATCCCAACTACTCGGGAGGCTGAGACAGGAGAATTGCTTGAGGAGGTAGAGGTTGCAGTGAGCCGAGATCGCACCACTGCACTCCAGCCTGGGCGACAGAGCAAGACTCTGTCTTGGAAAAAAAAGTTATTAAAAAATAAAAAAAATAAAAACAAAACGGAAATGATGCCTGGAGCACAAGTGGCTGCTGAGCTTCCTCTTGTCTGCCCAAACACCACAGTGCCGTTCCAGCACAGCAGAGGCTTTTCCTTGTTTCGGGTCGCTGACTTCTTGGGGGAGTTCATAAGAATCAGTAATGCCAGTTTATTGAGCTGTGCCTGGCATGGCACATACATTGCCTCATTTGATCCTCACCAAATCCTGTGGGGGAGATACTGTTTTGCACCCACTTTACCCGTGAGGAAAGCGAGGCTCTCACGAAGTTTAAAGACCACTCAAGGTCACACAGTGATCCAGATTCAAACCCAGCTTGTGGGACCCCAGAAACTGACTTGGAACCACTGAACTGAAGAAACCTCCAGTCCTCTCCCGAATGGCAGTTATGTGCTCATGAGCACACAGTGGGGCTGCAGGTTCACAGGTGCCTGAAGCCCTTCCAGGAAAACCCAGAAGCGACTCCTCTAAGAGCAAGGCCTGGGCTGTGAGTGTGCATTTCCTCTCCTGGCTGAGACACACCTCGGCTCTTCCCGGGACCCACTTGCTTTTTGTCCTCTAGGAACTGAATACTCAGGGCTGTGGCCAAGTCCCTGCTGTATGCTGGAGACGGAGCCAGGCCTCACTGCCTGTTCCCCTAGATAACCCAGAGATTCCATTGTCAGAGGGACCTGATGTTTCTAGATCCATCAGTAATGACTTTAGTGCGCTGAATGGCCTGGGCTCTTTCTATTTATGATATTGCACTCACTGGGCCAGAGCCGCGGGCTGCCAGGCCTTGTCACCTTCTGGCGGGATGACCAGCTTTGGGCTTTTTGGGCACGAGAGTAAATCGACCGGTTTGGGCAGCTTTCCGGGTGTGCAGAGGCTTCTTCCAAAAGGCAGTCTGGCTGGACTTATTCAGAAGGACAATCTAGACGCCCCATCCAACTCCAACAACCCAACCTCCAGGCTGCTTCCTAGGGACCACGCTACCCATGACACCTAACACTGGGGACACCAGGGAGAACGGGAGCCAGAGAGATCACCCTGCCCTAGCCCTCCCAGAACTGGGAGCGCCTGATGTTTGTCTGATTGTACTACAAACATTTCCCCGGAAGTAATAAAAATGTGTCCGCAGGACCCTCGGCCTGGCCAACCTTCCTCGGAGCACATCCTGCGGGGACCCTGGGCAGGGACCTGTTTCCTTCCCCTTGTGACCTCCGGCGCCCCTCTCTTTCCTTCCCTCACTCGCTCCCCTTTTCACTGCCTCCCCTTCTCCTGGGTCCAGGCTTTTGCGGGGAGGTGGCCTCAGTCCAGGGGCTCTCCGGCTCCCCGGGGTAATGCGGTCCGGGGGTATTTTATTTCCACCCTTAGGGACGGTGCCAAGCTGCCTCCCGGGCGCCCTGCTGCCGCGGCCTCTACGCTGCACCCTGCCAGGACCAAGGCCAGGACAGCCACTTCTCACCTCCCAGCTCGGACCCCGGGAACGCAGACCCTCGGGCAGCCCGCACTCCGCCCGCCTTACCTGCCAGCTGTGCAGCCAGGAGGAGCCACAGCCGCGGCCGCATCGTGGCGCGCCCGGTACACCTGGCCCCGGGGGCTCGGCGAAGACAGTCGCGGCTGAGGTGGGTGAGGAGCCGGGCCGGGCGGGGCGCCCCGGGTCGGGGAGCTGGGGGGAGCAGTGGGGAGGGCGGGACCGGGCAAGGCGGGGGCGGGAGTCTTGTGTTGGGGACCGCGAGGTCTCCGCCCTCATCCTCCTCGAATTGCAAAGGTCTGGGCTGCGTTTCCAGAGCCCACCAGGACCCTCCGCTTTCCAGAAAGGAGGTGACACCGCCGGCTTCCCCCAGGCAGCTGCATGTGTGTCATCGCCCCCTGCCCCGGGAGATGCTCAGGACAGGGTTGTGACCCCGAGTGACAGTCGAGGCTCAGAGAGGTCAGGATGTGTAGTGCATGGTGGAGCTGGCCACTAACTCGGGCCATTTCTTGTCTGTTTGAGTAGTTATTGAGGGGCTCCTGCGTGCCCCGGGCTGGGCTGGGCCTGGAGTCAGCAAGCCCCAAGCCTTGCCCTCCCTTGCCAGGCAGGAAGGAAAGGTAACCAGCTGTGACACTGACGGAGGTGAGCTGGGAACTGGAGGTGCAGAGAAGGCCCCGACCCTATTTGTAGGTTGTGGGGGTGCAGCAAGACCTAGATCTTAAGAATTTCGAAGGACTGTGACAATCACTGGCTGCGCCCTGCCGGCGAGTGCCCTGGGGCCGGTTCTATTTGTTGTGTGATCCAGCCCTGGTGGGGAGATTTGTGAGGGGAGACCTGGCTCAGGCTGCATCTTCCTGTTGAAACGGGGGTTAGCAGAAAGGGGGTTGGGGAAGTCCAGGGAGAACTGGGCATGCGGCCTGGAGGGGAGAGGGAGCCCTTGGAGGGCTGTGGGAGAGACCACTTGTAAATGTCAACGAAGACCCAGCCAGGCAGGCCCATGGGTTACCCTAACAGCTTAGAGTTTATCAGAGAGGAAATGGCGTGTCCCCTGAGATCTAAAGCAGGCAGCGGGGCAAGGACACTGTCACATTTGGTCTCCACATCCAGTATTCTTTCCATCCCACTCTTGCCCCAGCCCCTCTGCCTATTGCTGGTGACAGAGAGTTCAAAGGCATCACGGAGCTGGGTGCAGAGAGTTCAAAGGCACTGGGGGAAAAGAAGTCACTCAACCCAGCCAGCGGCCAGAGTCTCCCTGGATACTGCCTTTGCTCCCAGGCTGAACTGGTGAGGTCTGGATGGACAGAGACCTGGGGAGACCACACATTAGTATGAGCTTTTTAAAAAAATTGATGTGAATTTCACATAACATAAAATTAACCATTCAAAAGCATACAGTCCAGTGATATTTAGTACATTTACAATGTTGTACAACCACCACATCTATCTAGTTCTGAAGTATTTTTATTTCCTCAAAAGAAATCCCTGCACTCATTAAGCAGTCACTCCCTATTGTCACCTCTCTCCAGATCCTGGCAACAACTAATCTTCCTTCTGTTCTTGGATTTACCTGTTCTAGATACTTCATGTAATGGACCCATACAATCTGTGGTCTTTAGTGAATGACTTCTTTCACTTAGTGCAATGTTTTTCAGGTTCATCCCCATTGTGGCACCATTCCTTCTTATTGTTGAGCAACATTTTGTTGTATGTACCTGTATATGCCACATTTTCTTTATCTGTTCATCTAACGATGGGCATTTGAGTGGGCTATTATATCTACTTTTTGACTTTTGTGACTAATGCTACTGTGAACATTCTTGTACAAATATATGGTTGGGTGCCTGTTTTCAATTCTTTCAGGTATATCTCAGGGAGTGCAATTCCTGAGTCATACAATAATTCTATGTTTAACTTTTTGAGGGACTACCCAACTGTTTTCCATAGCAGCTGTGACCATTTACATTTCTGCCAACAATGAAAGGGTTCCAATTTCCCCACATCATCGCCAACACTTGTTATTTTCTGCTTTTGTTTTGTTCCATCCTAGTGGGTGTGAAGTGGTATCTCATTGTGGTTTGGATTTGCATTTCCTGAATGAGAAATGATGTTAAGCATCTATTCATGTGCTTGTTGGCCATTTGTATTTCTTCTTTGATGTGTATTGGAAGTATTTGTTTTTTAGAAAACACAAGCTACCTCTTTCTATCCACTCTCTCATGCAATTGCACAGCATTGCAAAGAGAACAACTTTCTCAGTAAAGGATTAAAAGTTACTCACTGCTTTGTCAGGTATTGTCTAAAATCATAGACAGGGAACCCCTGGATGCATTAGTTATGGAAACTTTTGCGTTTGTGATAAATTAACCTCTAAATATTAGTGGTTTAACTTAATACAAATCCCCTGTATTGTTCTGTGATATTCAAGTGCAGCTGTGCTAGGGAGTAAGGAGTATTTTCTCCACTCAGTCCTGCAGGGGACCAGGGTCTTTCCCCCATCTTCAACTCATGGCTCCAGGGATCACTGTGCAAAGGGAAAAGAGGATGATTGCCTTCACCAGGGTGGTGTAGGGGGTGCTGGGGCTGGGGACCAGGCCTGGAAGCATCAACATAACTCTGTCTACTTTCCACTGGCCAAACCTCAGTCACATGGACTCAATCATACTGTAAGGGGGCTGGAAAATGGAGTTTACTTGAGTGCGCAAGAGGAAAGGGGAAATGGAATCAGTAAATATATAACCAGCATGGATCGCACTGGTATAGCAGAAAGAGCACTGGTTAGCATCGCTTCTCTGCTACTTACATACTCTCAGGCCTCAGTTTCTACATGGATAAATGAGGAAAATAACACCAACCATGCCATCTCACTGGGTTATCTTCAGGGCTAAATAAAATCCGGGATCTGCTTGCCCATTGAACTTGGAGGAGGTAAGTCAGCAGGTCTCTTGGAAAAACATTGAGGGCATGGAGATGGTCATATTAATTGAGATGGGCTGTGGGCGCTTAATGGGTGGTGTCAGGGAAGCCAGATGTACAGAAGGACCCTTCCTTTGACGTTCACATGTGCCATTGGATATTCATTCAGGTGAATAACCTGTTTGTAATTAACTATCTGAACCTGGAACAAAACTCGGTTTTGCCTTTCAACATAAAGTACCTTTCCCTCTCAGGTTTTGCCTTCTCTGAATGTAGCGGTTTTTAGTCTACCATTCACTTGTGCCTTTGCTCTTCCATATTCCTGGTCTTAGCTACAGATCAGTTCATGATCTGACTTATCTTCCGTTGACGTTTGTTCAGTACAGGTTGGTATAAGTATTTGGGGACCTCACTATATTGTCTCCTGCAGCTGTGCCTGGGTTTTGGCTGGTTAAAATACTCATCTGTTTATTATAAAGCAATCTCCTCTTTTATATAGTTCAGGATTTTTGTTGACTTGTTTTGAAATTACGTGTGTAGGTAGAGCCTATTATCTGTGAAATTCATTTCAGGGCAGTAAAAGTATCATTACAAAGAGTCATTTTGGTGAAGGAGGGCTGGTCTGATGGGTTGAGAACTGCTAAATTGGGTCATCACAATTGACCCACTGCCACTGTGGTGCCTGGCCAGAACTCAGTCACATGGACTCAACCAAACTGTAAGGCGGCTGGAAAATGGAGTTTAGTTGGGTACCCAAGAGAAAAGGGAAATGGAATCAGAGAGTACATAACCTGCCTGGACCGCACTGGTATAGCAGAAAGAGTGCCCATTAGCATCGCTTCTCTGCTACTTACCCACTCTCAGGCCTCAGTTCCTATATTCATAAATGAGGGGTGCTCTTTACCTGAGGTTAAGAGTTCAAGACCAACCTGGCCAATATGGCAAAACCCATCTGTACTAAAAATACAAAAATTAGCCGGGCGTGGTGGGGTGCCTATAATCTCAGCTATTCAGGAGGCTGAAGGCAGAAGAATCGCTTGAACTCAGGGGGCAGAGGTTGCAGTGAGCCAAGATCGCGCCATTGCACTCCAGCCTGGGCGACAGAGCAAGACTCCATCTCAAAAAAAAAAAAATTAAGATAGTGCAATAAGAAAATTCCAGATTACAAGCAGATTTTTAGATCAGTTTTACAGAGAACATTTTGAACCATGTAGAATAACAGCTTATTGGGTTGATGTTCACTTTCCACTTGGAAATCTCACACTTAGTTCTAACCCAAATCAAAGAGAAGCAATCTAGATTGCTTTTTCTAGTCTCCTTAGGAAAAAGTCGCAAATATCAAACTAACCACCATCAAAGGGAGCCCAAATCAAACAAAAATATATTGAATAAGCCTCTTTTAGTAGGGAGTTAATGATTCCAATGTTACCATTAAAAGAATTGAAAGCAGAATCCCTCCTACTCAGAGAAGTCACATGAGGTGCAAAGCAAAGAATGTCTTTAGAGAGTTTATTTCCAAGTTGGAGACCAGGCCCATGGAACGCTCCCCTATTAGAGGTCAAAGTGCAGTTCTATATCCTAAAGTCAAGTCCATACAAACACTTTACCAGTACTACCTCCCCCGAAGGACACCAAGGACACATTTCACTTTTTTTTTTTTTTTAGAGATGGGATCTTGCTCTGTTGCCCAGGCTAGAGTGCAGTGGCTGTATTTCAGCTCACTGCAACATCCGCCTCCCGGATTCAAGCAATTCTCCTGCCTCAGCCTCCTGAGTAGCTGGGATTACAGGCATGTGCCACCATGCCCAACTAATTCATTTTGTATTTTAGTAGAGATGAGGTTTCACTGTGTTGCCCAGGCTGGTCTCGAACTCCTGAGCTTAGGCAATCCACCCACCTCAGCCTCCCAAAGTGCTAGGATTACAGACGTGAGCCACCGCACCCAGCCTCCCACTTTTTTTTTTTTTTTTTGCCACATTAATTTTCTTATTTTAGTGATTTTATTTTAAAATATTGAAACACTATGTTCATATCGTACTGTCAATCAAAAATAAAAATAAAAAATGTTAAAAAACATAATAAAGAATATCCAGGATTTTAAAAATCACATAAAGAAATGGAAGTCTCTTTTTCTGCTCCTACCAATTCCAGACTCTAGGGTGAGCCTCCTATCAAAAAGAAATTTATTCAAATAAGAGAAAGAGGGCCAGGTGCAGTAGCTTGCACTTGTAATCCCGGCTACTCAGAAGGCTGATGTGGGAGGATT